ATATTGGATTTAGCTTAGAGAATTTACAAAGTTGCCAATGGTATTACTGTAAGCGCACATCACAGAACGGGCAAATTAATCATAATTAGTTTCAGCTCTGGCCTATGGCGAGTACGCATGCACATACATAGACACTCATATGCATGCACCCTGTGAAGAGCCTCTGGAAGCCATATGCCAAATTATAGAGTACTGCTCTGAAACACCATGTAGCTATACAAGCACACACAAGGCTGTGGTGGTGCTTTCTATTAAATCACGTATGACCCACCAAACCATGTAATATGCTACTTGAAATGTCTAAAATTCTTTGATTTAGGGACATGCACGGAATGAACTACAAACTGCACTAATATACCAACAGATACATACATACATACCTGATGCGTGCTCAAGGACATACCAAGGCCCCAGGCAGATACATAAAATCTGAACATACATGAGGAGAAAGAAGAGAAGTTCATTACCCCAGCTGAAGATACATGAGTAAGAAGCAAGATAACGGTACATATCCAGAATTAAATATTACTTTTATATTACATGATCTATGAAATACCATAAGAACACTAAATCACAAAGCCCTATTGAGAAATTAATTCTCTAGCTACAAAGCAACAGTTCTATGAAATCAAAGCATTACCCTTGCCAAGATCATCATCAGCGCCACCATGGACGTCAACAGCAGGGCCAACAACTGAATGTGGTAAAGAAATATGCCTATCACATCAAGGAAATGTTCCATAGACAACTCCATGGATTTCTTAGAACAATAAAAATACTGGGCAATGCAACTCAGAATCAAAACATACTCTTCGATTCAGACTTTTTGCTCCCATCCCCTTTAGGCACCTCCTTATCCCTCTCGAAATCTGAACCATTAAGGGCCTTATCATCAACACAACCACCAACTAAGCAGACAATTTCTCATATTAAATTTTGAAAGCGGACACTCATTCATGGTAACCACCATGATGAGCTTAATAGTATTACAAAAAGAATTGCCAGTTTTTATATTCAAATGTCATATTTGAATGTAATATGCTTAAACATTTGCATATGCTACCTGATTAGTTTTTTTCTTTATATTCAAATGTCATATCTGAATGTAGTATGCTTAAACATTTGCATATGCTACCTGATTAGTTAGTGTAGGAATGAGAGGCTTGCACTTGTTGTTCCATTTTATCTCTTGAGAACTACATGACACTGAATTTCTCTTCAATAGTAACTTCTCCAACTTCCTTTCTTTCATGGTAACTCTTGGATCCACTCACAACCAGAAGGTGCAGCAATCTAGAGCAGGATAATACTCAGTTAAATCAGCTTTTCTAACAAAGCCCTATAACAGAACGAATTATACACAGTATTGGGAACATTCATGGTGATTTCTGAATGAGGCGATGCACCTGGGGACGAACCGAATTGACGGGGTGGAGCAGGCGGCGGGGTTGGAGAGAGAGACTTACCTGGACCCAGAAGACCGCGCGAGAGAGGGTGGAGAGGCTCATGGCGGCGAAGGCGGCGGCGACGGCATCAGGAGGAGCGAGAAACCCGGCGTCGCACGCGAGCATGCCGAGCTCGAGCGGCTCCTCGAGCACTTCGGCAACCGGATTCGGAGAGGGAGCGGGGTAGAGAAGGTGCGTGCGAGTGCCACGCCTCCGCGTATGCCTCCGCCGGCACCTAGCGCTGGCGCGAGCATGCCGAGCTCGAGGGCGTCCTCGGCCACTTCCGCGACCGATTTGACATGAAGGGGAGGAAGAGCAGCGGCTGCGAAGGGGAGCCTCGACCTGACAGGGAGCACCCGTGGTGGTGACGGAGGGGAGCGGCGGCTGGACCAGGGAGCGCCGGCGTTCGTGACGAAGGGCGCCAGCTGTGGGGCGAGGGATTTGGCCACCATGGGAGAACGGGGAACGGGAAGAGATGTGTGAGGGACTGAGGGGGCGGTGGGGAGGATAACTAACGTTTTTCTAATAATCATTTAGTACTCCTATACTACTAGCTAACGTATTAGGCAGTGACCGGAGAGATATTGTGAGTCTATTTAAAAAAAGAGAGATTGTGAGTGACTGCGACTTTGTTCAAATCAATTTTTTTTATCTTATAAAAAGATCCATTCTTTTTATCCGATTTGCCTGCGTGCGTGCGATCTTGTTTTATCATCCGGCCTTGTTACAATAATTTTTATTTCATGGTTTTAAAAGTTCATTATATGAATCTCTATAAAAGTTGTTTTTATTAAAAATAATCTATATAAAAGTTGATACAATAATTTATTGAATATATTTAAGTTCCATAATCATAAAGGTCATCTTGTGGTCTATGGATGTTAAATTTTATGGAGCACTTCAGTGGAGATATTTTTTCTAAAACTCCTGCATCAGTATATTTTTTGTATCATTATACTTATTCTATGTTGTATCACTGTTTTGAAACTAACCATGGTTAGTACTTTCTAGGTTCATATGATAGATTTTAGAACAAAACTAGCTGTCACTTTTGTGGACTAGGAATTGAGTGATGATAATTTAAGAAAATGAGATTTAGAAAATGATGGAAACAATACAAATCTCACGGATTGCATGTTACACGCGCGATCATATCGTTGGGTATAAGACACATTTAAATAGCTCGATGAAAATAACTCGCTAAAAGAGAAATTACATTCAAAATAGATGTTTTTATAGATTATGATACGTGCGTTGCACGTGCATACTTACTAGTCATAAAGATCATCATCATCTTTACCTACTTCATTGTCAGAGTCAACCCAGTCTGAATCCCACTCACTGTCATCATTGACACTTTTTTTTTCATTGCATTTCTTCTTCTACCACAAGCTTTCTCTTGCTTCTTCTGAGTTCATGGCCAACACTTTGTGCCATTGGTGGAACACTGGTACTGCCTACATTGTTGCTGCCTCCATGACACTGGTTGAGATTGTCTTTCTGACACCTTAAACCTAGGACTGCCCCTAATCCAGTATTAAACTGAGGAGACTTAGGGCTTAGTACAACATGAAGATCCGGTGTACCACTAACATGAATGTCATCAATTGCAGTGTCAAATGTCATATCTTTATGATCGACAAACAATTGAAAATACTAAAATTTTGGGACAACTGCTGTCATGTGCAATGTGTCAGTGTCGCAATCCACAATCCGGAGACCATCAGCTAGATTCTTTCCAGGGAGCAACCAATACAAAATGTAGTTTGATTGGTCACATATCCTAATTGTTGCATAAAATCAGCGAGCCAGAGAGGAGACCATGTGCCTACTTCACATCCATCGAACACGGCATCTTTGCCATCACATATGACTTCGACTTGCCAAATCCGCTAAAAAACCATCATAATATATGTTTACACTGAAAAGCTCCTCTTGTGGTCCTACATTGCAAAGGATTCAGTCATTGATTCTGCCTAAATGAGAAGAAGGGAAACTAAACAGTGGGATCGGGATTAGGGTTACGAGAACTTACCATATCACGGAGGAGGATCTCCGGGTCGCCGTAGATGTGGCACCATCCTAGCGTCGCCGTCGCCGGACAACAGCCGACAACGACCCCCTCTTCTCACTGGAGCAGAGCCGCCGCCGTCAATCGCCCTGTTTTCGCCAGACAGGGAGGGGGGGAGGGGTGGGGAAGAGGAAGAGGGGCCGCGAATGAGAAGGAATTAGGGCTAGAAGGTTTTTCTAGAAATATTCACGTCCGGTCGTTATCCCGCTTGGGCCCTCTGGTGTCGATGTGGACTGGTCAAAGCGCCACACAAGCTGGTCAGTGGCGGTCAGACGAGATTAGGACCTCGGATGGACAACTTAAAAAGGTTTGGGACTCAGATATGCATTTTAAAAGAATTAGGACCCAAATGACACTTGCAGAAAAGAATTAGGACCGCGCTTGCTTTTTACTCTTCTTTAGAAGCATGCAGACTAGTTCCAATAAGGAACACATCAATAGCAGCAAACCATGTATAATTAGCATGCAAAGAACAACATTACATGCAGCGCTAGAACTGTCTGCAAGGCTAGTGTCGACAGAGCAGTAATACACGTACATTAACAAAGTGATACAGAAGCTACCGCACACAAGAGACGTGGCTGAACACACACTAGTGGCAGGAACAACAGAACAGACTCACATTATACTGATTATGCAGGAAGCAGTTGAACGAGCGAAGCGCGTTGCACTCACACGTCTCCTAGCGGAGGACCCGGGGAGGAGTTGCAGCTTGACGAACGGCCAGGAACGTGCGTGCATGGAGTTTCAGTTTGTTACGTGATAGGACATGCTCAAGCATCAGGCTGATTAATTAATGATCCGAACGATTGTTTCAATGCTCTAGGTAAAAGGATGCAACGGACGGATTTTACAAATAAAGACATTAAGCGGGGAAGCGAAGAGGGGAAGATGGCTATCGAAGCATAAGCAAAAGAGGGCTAAGATCCGTCAATTTGTCTTCGTTTTGAGTTTCCCTTTATTCAGGTAGGAGTACTTCTTAAGCATGACTACGGTCTGCTCCTTTAGTTCGAAATTTTATCATCTATTTCTGCGGCAAGTAATTGGGGACGGACGGAGGGAGGGAGTAGTTGGCTTTGCCGCAAAACTGAAGACTGGCCCTAGATCCGTGTGCACTCCGTAGCACATTCCGGGACGATACCGCGTATGTGCGAATGTGCGAATGTGCGATTACTTATGTCGACCCCATCTGCCTCGTCTTTCTTCTTTCTTATTAAAAGCCATTTTCGTTACGGATGGATATGAGAAGAAGAATTTAGAGCCTTGCGTGCCCACACCGCCCTTGACCACACCCCACCACCAACCGGCCTTGGCGACTCCCACACACTTGCCCAACCAACCACACACTTGTCCCACGCCTCCCCTCTCCCCTTGTAGGAGTACCACCCTGCCGCATCCAACCACCGACCATCCACCATACCACTTCCCCCAAAGTCTCCTCCTTTCTCCCTTCCCAACCCAACGCCCACCCAAATCCATCGCCGATGAAGAGGGAGGGCTTCCAGCACGGCGCCGTCCGGGTGAACCGCAACAAGCTGCTGCGGGTGGCCGCCGGCACCGGCGGCGACGCGGCGGCCGCGGCGCTGGAGCTCGCCGGCGTGGCGTACGCCAGGGCGCCGTCCAAGCCGACCAACGCGTCCAGGGACACGGGCCGGTGCCGCCGGCCCCGCTGCGCCGGCTGCCACGCGCACCCCGCCGCCAAGGCCCGGGACAAGGCCAAGGGCGCCCACAAGCTGCGCGCCTCCGACGTCGCCCTCAACCACCGCCTCGTCTCCTGGCGCCTCGTCGACGGCGTTGGGAACGCTCCGGCTGGCACCGGCGGCGTCCCCGACTACAAGGGCGCCTCCGCCTCCGCCGTCCTCGCCTACCTCGCCGGCGGCAACAGCTGGCACGCCGAGGACGAGGACGACGACGAGGAGGACCAGGACGACGGCACCGACCTTCAGGCCCCCCCAAGGGGGATCTCCGACCTGTACGACCTCATCGTCGGCCTCCAGGCCAGCGCGGCCCCTGCGCCGGACGGCCAAGAAGATGGCAACAACATATCAGTAACACCCAGCGATGAAATCGAGGAGCAGGATGCCGAAATCACCGACGACGCCGACGCCGACGAGGAGGAGGAGGACATGGGGTTCTGCGTGGTGCAGGGCATCACCATCGCGCTCGAGTTCTCCGACGGGGAGGAGGACTGGATCGTGGTCTGATCTCACCCGATCTCATTCAATTTGCAAATAATAAGACGTGCAACAGAGAGAGGTCAGCCGCCCGCATCCCCCCGCCTCTGCTGCTGCTGCTGCGCAATTCCCTTCCATCCGCATCTGCTCTCCTGTTAATTGATCGTGTCCCTGTGTGTATACTGCTCTGTTCTGCTGTTAATTGGTCGTGTCCCTGTGTATATATCTGGTGACTGTCTGTCTAATTTGTCAAAAATTCATGGATTATCATGACCTGAATTTATCAAACATGTGTGAATAAAATTAATGAAGAAGTGATTCGTTCTTCTTCACACCCTGTTTCTTTCTTTCTGATTGATGGAATGGATGGATACACTTTATGAATGATGTTTGAGGATGTGTAGATGCACTTTCTGATAAAATGTGTGGATGTGGATTCATCTGAATGTTTGTTTCTTCGGACCATGATAAAATTAATGTGTTTATGTGTCTTTCTAAATGTGCACTTTTAATTAGTTTTCTTCTGAAAAGAGAATATGCGATGATCTGAATGGCTGACCGGCTTTCGGTTTGTGAATTGTGATGAAATCTGGTGAATTCGGTTCTTGATATGGCAATGTCTTGTCGAGAATGCTAGTAGATGCAAGTCACGCGGTTAGAGCATCTCTAGCCCTTCCCTCAAATCTTTATAACAAGAGGCAAATTGTGTCTGCAATTTTTCTGTGAGCGACCCATTTGCCTTCACCTGCCAATGTTAGTTTCGATGGCGAGTCCTGATACCAAAGCAACAGTTTCGATGCGAGTGTTGCTTCGGATGTAGGGGACGTGTTCTTGTTGGTCAGTATCGGTCATTGGCTGTTTTACCTTGACACCTCTGGCGAACTGGTTGCTAGCTTCCAAGACTCATGTGCCTGTAAGCATTGGCTCAAACAAACTCTTGTTCCGCATGGTTTCTTCACGGCACCAGAAGGTTGTGCTGTGGACGCTTCGCCATTCATCTGACGCTGTTGAGCGAGGTGCTGCTTCTTAACAGCCTAGTTTTTTGTATCCTCATGAGCTGCAATGTGTATGAATTGGATCAAACATGAGCCTGCTGATCTCTTTTTTTTGTGTTGATCAGAAGTGACTGTTACATTGCCATCCTTGTTTTGGTAACCTTCCATGGCTACTGCCTGTGAACAAGCCGTTTTGCTCTGCTTTTGAAATATTTGCCAGCTGATCTGCCTCATGGACTCTGCTTCATTCTGTTTACTAAGTGGTCTTGTTGATATTTAGCAATGTTCATGCCTCTTATCACCACTTGTTGAAGTGGAGAGCTGATTTCACTACTTGATCAGCGTGAGTGGTGTTCTTAACAGTCGACTTTCGGTGTGTTTCCTGTTTGCGCCCTTTATTGTAGCTGCCGTGCTGGCTTGCAAGCTGCGCCTGACTTGTAGAACAAGTACCTTGGAGCACTAATTACTAAATTAAATACTTGCACGATGCATCATATCCAACTTCTCAATTAAGTATGGGAACCGCAACCCTTAAAATCTGTGAATATCTTGTTGCACGGTTTGCAATTGTTACCATCTCGTATTGTTTCAGTTCAGCTGTTAACCTTCTTGGATAGATGCTTTGATGCGATGTTTGTAGCTGTTAATAACTTGGGCTGGGCTGTGCAGTGCATATAGAAATTCCGGACACAGTTTTGCTTCTGGTTGTTTCTGGATGCGTACTGTAGATTCAGATGTTAACCTTCCCTCAAGTCTAATCTTTACAATACTACTCCTTACGTTCCGATTTACTCGTCGTGGTTATGGTTTCCGCCGACCGTTTCCTTTGTTTGCACGATTTTCCTTTTGAAACTCCTTTCTTGCACGATTAGAGCATCTCTAGCCCTTCCAGATGGTGGGCTCAACGTTTTACTCACGCCATCTTTAGTCAATCCCCTAAAAATTAGCGGAATAATAAAACCTTTAGTAGCCGATCCCCTAAGCTTAACAGAGTAAACTTCAATTTGATCAAGTTTCAAAGCAATTTGAACTGAAAGTAGCATGCATTCAAACATAAAGATAGATAGTTTTGCACAACCAAACATAAAACATAAATTTAAACTAAACTAAGCAGCTAAACTACTTTCGGTCGAAGTGGAGGTCGAGCCAATCCTTTCTCGTCATGTACGGTGTGCCGCAAGCCGGATCCGGGCTGATGCCGTCGTTGGGGTCGTCGGGGAAGACATTCCTCTACTCGTCGATGTCGATCTCCTCATCCTCGCGCCCACCTTGCCGCCTTCGACCTCGTCGCCGGATGAGAGCACGATAACCTTGCCGCCCTCCACGCTGGCAAAGATCATCCGCTCCGCCTCCACGAGCTCCGGGTGCTGCCGGCGGAGCTCTTGCATGTAGGCCTCGTCGGCAGCCTCGGCCTCGAGGCGCTCCCTCGCCTTGCGGTCCTCCCGCTGAGCTCACCACCCCCGGCTCCGGCGGGACGTGGTCGACCGGACGTGTGTCGAAGGGGAAATTGAGCCGAGCCTGGTCGCCCGGACGTGTGTCGAAGGGGAAATCGAGCCGAGCCGTCGCGCCGTGGTAACGAACCTGCCAGCGGTCGTACTCCATGGGCGCGAGCTCGGCTGTGTGGAAGCTATGGAGCCACCGGTGGGTGTGAGCCTCCTGATACGTAATCTCGGTGACCCATGTCCCCCACCGCCGTTGCCGGACCCCAAGGGAGGACGATGAAGTCCTCAAACCGGCGTAGGGGCACGACGGCAGGAGGATTGGGCGACCGACGACGGCGGCTCGATGAAGAGCCCGCGGAGGATGACCCACACGCGATCAACGGTGAAGTAAAAAGAGGGGCCACCACGTCCGGCCATTGAAGGGGCGAGGAAAGAAGAGGGGCCGATTTTACTCGGCCATTGATGGAGTAAATATACTCAGAATTTCAGGGAAGAAGTAAAAAATTTACTTCATTAGGCCGTATAGGGGATTGACTAGGTCAAACTTAGTGAAGTAAAAAGCCAAATTTACTCCACTAAGTTGATATAGGAGACCGGTTAAAATTGTGGATGTGTCTCCAGAACTGATTGAATGGATGGATACTGGTGTGGATGTGTCTTTCTGAATGAATGTGCACTTTTAATTAATTTCCTTTTGAATAGAGATTATGCAATGATCTGAATGTCTGATCGGTTTCCGGTTTGTGAATTGTGATGAGATCTGATGAATTCAGTTCTCGGTGTGGCGATGCTCTGTTGAGAATGCTAGATGCAAGCCGCGTGGTTAGAGCATCTCCAGCCCTTCCCTCAAATCTTTTTATAGCAACAAGCAAATTGTGTCTGGAATTTTTCTGTGAGTGACCCATTTGCCTTCACCAACCGAAGCAGTTGAAGTTCAGCTGTTAACCTTCTTGGATAGATGATTGATGCGGTGTTTGTACCGAAGCCGATGTTAATAACTTGCGCTGTGCAGTGCATCCAGAAATTCCGGACACAGATTTGCTTCTTGTTGTTTCTGGATGCGTATTGTAGATTCAGATGTTAACCTTCGTTTCCTTTTCTTGCACGACTTTCCTTTTGAAATTCCTTTGCTTGCACGATTTACCTTTTTTGAAATTCCTTTTTGCAGCACCTTGACCTTCCACGAGCGTTTTCCAGTTGCGGTCCGGGCATGGTGGTGAACCGGTGAATGGTGATAGCGTGTCTGCGTAGGCACAAGTTTTACCTGAAAAAAAAAATGCTTGGTACGTACGTACAGCAGACGGCGACCGGTACGCGTTTTCGTTACGGGGGTGACGTACTGACACTTGTACGCATAAATAAAATCTGATTGTGAGAAAACAAAGAGGCACGTACATACGCCATCCATCATTTATCTTTGTTTTCCGTACGCTTTGGCGATGTCTCAGCCTAACCAGAAACACACAACAGGCGAACCAACCTGTGGTTGAGATGGTTAGGTGGACAGTGATATCTCCAACCCATCAGGGTTTAAATCCTGGTGCTCGCATTATTCCTAGATTTATAGTCTCTCAGAGATGCTCATAGCGGTAAGGTGTGCGTGTATGCGTTCATAGAGGTGAGTGTATGCGCGTGTATATGAGCGTTTCTGTCTGTACTAATGTTCAAGAAAAAAACACAACAGATCCTACAAAAAGAAAAAAAATTCGTGCAACTCGATGTCGTCTCCTCATCGGTTTCTGCTCGTGTCACGAGCCAAAGGATCTGCCGGGCTCCAACAACTGAGATTGACAAGTGACCGTGAATCACTAGAGATTCCTATATCCATATTCGAGAAAATGCATATACTTATATCCGAGTCATTCGGATTCTTACCTTTAGTGGCATTTTTCTCGGAATACAGGCTTGGGAAAGTTCCAGAGTGTTTTTTTTCTCCCTCAAAGTGGACCCTTCCTGTAAGGGTCTAGTCGGGTCATGGGTACCGCATGACAATGTTGGAACAAACATTCCATTCATACACTTTTCAACAAAATTTTAAAACATTCGTGATTTTAGGGTTTTTTGTGAATCTCCGGAAATTTTCACAAAATTTGAAATATATTATTGAATTTAAACAATGTTTGCAAAATTTTAAAAATTCTTCACCGATACAAAAAATTGTCACGAATTTTATAATTGTTCATGATTTTTTTTAAATGGTCATAAATTTAAAGTTCATGGATATGAAGAAATCTTCGCATATTTTAAGAAAATGGTCACAATTTTGAAGAACATGCTCAAGAATTTAAATGATGTTGCTGAAATTCAAAAAACACTCGTGGATTAAAAAATAAAAGATAAACAGAAAAAACATGATAAAATCCAGTAGAGAAAAAAAACGAGACCATAATAAGACTTGAAAGAAAAATAGAATTAATTCAAAGTCGAAGATCAGCATCCGCCATCCTACTCCTTGTCTGCTGCAATGCACCGAAGAAAGCTACTCAAAGTTGAAGATCAGCATCCACCATCCTACTCCTTGTCCCCTGCAATGCACGGAAGAAAGTTAGTCAGTCGAAGATCAGCATCCACCATTCAAGCAATGCATTCGTTA